AATTACAAACGCTCGAAATTGTTTAGAAAGTTCTTTACCACATCATGCAGATGGGATACAGTCTCAAAAGTGAAAGAATTATGTGAAATATATTAAGTGAGTTAAGAATATAAAAAACCAAACAGATCTTTATATAATTAATATAAAGTAGACAAACAATGGATATTAAAAACTAGCAGTTAAAGAAATCAATAAAATCATCTACCAATTTGTACAAAAATCGTTTAACTTACCTTCTAGACTAAGGTTATGAAGAGATGTATCAAGTTCCTCCAAATGCCAATTGTTTTCTGCCATAAATAGCGTTAAACCACAGAACCGAAAATCAAACCAGAGAACCGAACATTATTTGACAGAGGCTTCCCTTTCTCTTTTCCCTCTTCCCGTCTTTCCCCGCGAGCTTGGTAATGTGATTCCCTATCATCTCCAAATGTCCACAATGCCCCTTTTTAACCCCCGCAAGCCCATTTCTCTGCCTAGCCCGCTACTGCCCGCAAGTCAAACCGGTCAAACTTTATATAGAAAGAAAACAAACACATAGAGAAAGAATTCAAAACAAACTCATAGAAAGCCGAAAACATACTACGAAGCCTCTGCGGAGGAGAATGTCTTATTCGCCAATTTTAGCGTGTAGCACGCGCGTGCGAGTAAAAACCCGTCGTTATACCCGATATTTTTAAAATTTCAAAATGAACATTTCTACTCGCCAAATTCAAACGAAATTTTGGACATAAATGCGCTTGAATACAAGGAATATTTCACTCATATTGATTTGTGGCAAACTCTGAAGATTTCAAAAGATATTTAACCTTCTATGGAAGCAAGATACAGAATATTTGGCCAAGCGGTGAGTAAATCTATGATTGTTTCGGTTTGTGTAATGTTTTGATGGCATTCGACCCCCCGTTGAAAAGGTTATTTTATTAGAGCTCAAATGCATATTCGTCAGGCGCGGGAGGGAATACGTTATATGATGGATTACGTTATAAAAATGGAATTGTAAAATCGTCAAAATGTCGCTTGTCGATAAAGAGTTAAATTTTGTTTTGGTTTTTAATCTGATCAATCCAATATAAATAAAATTGAGATTTCTTCATGGGAAGTGCTGACGTATGGTATTTACGCACGCGTTAATTTGTTTTCGCAAAACGAACGAGCGAGTGCAACGAGCGAGTGTGTTTTGCCAAAACAAATTAACAAGTGCGTAAATACCATACAAAAGCACTTCCCATGAACAAATTTGTTTATTTTATAGATACATAGAGATTTTCTATTCAAAACGGTCTTAAAATGGCACTTTATTTTATCATTTATAGCGTTATCATGCAAATATTTTACAAACTTTAGAATATATTAACAAGCAAAGTTCTAATTATAAACAAGAATCGTTCTTTTTTTATAACAGGAAACAAACTTTTAGAACTTTTACCAGACTTCAAAATAAAGGAAGTAGTTAACAGTCACGTTGGGGATTTTTTACCGTGAAAACGCTCGCGCACGAAAGCGAGGCTAGGTTCGCCATATCGCGCATATCAAAGATATGTAAAAACAAAATGGCGACTAATACTCCTAGCGCCAGTAATCTAAATTTGTTTGTCGAAGACGTTTTGTCAAACGGGAAAGCAAAATACCTAAAAGATTTACCAATAGGAAGTCCGAAATATATGGAATCTTCGAGAATGTTCGACAATCTGTTAAAGATAGCAGGTGGCCTTTGCAAAGAAGTGATTGCCGAGGACGAATTCGAAAAATTGGAGCATCACATTGTGGAAATACACCCGTTTGCCGTTCTTGAAATATCGATTTGGCATTGCCAAATTACGAGAAGGCCGAAAAAGAAAGCCCTTGTCCAAACTGGGTGGAAAATAATTCTTGTAAGAGATTTACCGTGTAAAATTTTTGAACATATTGTGCGCATATTATGCACAGCAAATACTTGCTTTGCGACCAAAACAACTCGAACAACAGTGGAACATGTCGTTGAATTTACCGACGTGAGGAAGCTTATGTATATATTTAAACAAGCTGCTGGTATCCACAAGGATTTGAGGAAAACCTTTGCCCACTTGGGGGTAGCTAAAGCCATTAATTGTATCTCAAGAAAAGCCATTCAAACTTTCATACAAGGTGAAAAATGAACAATTGAAAGTCCAATGCCACTATGGATTTTGGAACAGCCATGGGGTACCACAGTTTTAGAACAATCCATTTTAAAATAAGAATTCAGAATACAAAGACAACCTTTAATATTGTTTTTTAAGTTTTGTTATATCGCTGTATTCCCATATTTATGTGCAATATGTTTCAGTGATTTTTAGCTAGCTACTTATTAACATTTGCCACATGCAGGAAGGTTAGCTAATAAATGCACTAGCCAATACGGCAATACCCCAACCTCCCAATCCATACCTCACGTATCCGGTATCCCTGTATGTTCAAACGGTATTTAGCTCAAGCGGTTAGGTCATGAAATTGTTAAGATCGCGACAAGCCTGATACAGGCACCATACCTTTCACAAGGGCTATAGGAATATTTTTAGATACTTATAATGAAGTTTGAAGAAAAATTGTGACACGGGAAGTGACGTATTAACTTTGTTGAACCATGGTGTTTTCCTAAAAATCTGTTGTTAATAATTTTAACTTAAATGATTTTACCGAGACATTTTGGTCTAACTACAACAGGTTCAAAAGGACAAATTATTATAATCCACTAATGCGCACCCTACAGGTGGAATCCCCTGATTGCATATTTTATGGCACCCTTCTGAAATTCATCTCCAGGCTAAATGGATGGATTTCCGAAGCGGTGTAGTATCTGACCTATCAACTATTGTTCCCTCAGTGGCGTAGCCAGGCCCATGGGCCCACGAAATAATTTTTCCGACTGATCTTCCCTACCAAAACAAAAGCAGTCAAATGCCATTTTGTCTTTCAAACCACTATCAATGTCCAAATCAACCTCGGTCCTAGGGTAATTTGAGAAAGTACCCTGGCGGATCGTGGTCACATGGTTGCCCAGATTTTGGGCAGCCATTGGTCAAGCCCAGCCTTATTGGTCACATTTGGGAAATAAAGTCAATCAATGCGACCACGATCTGCCAGGGTCCTTTCGCTCCGAGAGGGGTTAAAGTACCCTTAGACCGAGGTTGTGTCCCCGTGGACACCATTGAGACGGGCGGATTCATACTGGTGTGTGAGGATGTATTCAAGTGATCATTGTTTACCAAACACATTGCATGCATACATTGCATAGTCACATAAAATTTTTAAAATGTAATTAAAAATAATCACAATATTCACATAAATATACTTTTCTAGCGAACAACATTTTACAGTGTAATTTTCAAAAGTATACCTGCATAATAAATTATGTTAAAAAGGTATATGTACAACATCATTTTTTTAAATACCTGCGCAAACTTGTGCAGACGTCTCTCTTTTCAATGCTTTCTTTGATAGATTTTGTAATTTTAGAAGAACATATTTTACATTCATCCATTAACACATCTTTAGAAAGGCCACAGTTAATTACAAAAATCATCTGTATTACATCTTAAAGGCACATACTTAAATTTGGTCTTAGAGTAAGTATCAGTGTATGGGTTTTGTTCTCTCAGCCAAACTAATGATACATATTCATGTCTGAAAATCTGCTGCCATTTGTTCTGAGGTGTAGTATTTTTAGCATATTCCCCCAACCGTTGGTGTTTTGCCTCCCGGCCTTGCATGGTATTTAAACCTAATCCTGTTTTGAACTTTTCAAACATTTTATTAGCATGCACTGGTACAATATAGCCCAATGTCCAAACACTTACTGTAATCCTACTAAGAATTAATGCAGCTGCATTAAAATAGTTGACACAACACCTATTTATGTTAGCAAGTAGCTCCTGTTTCATATCCATTATTCGTGAAAATATCGACACTGCATCCCTAAGATTAACTGCCATAAATGCAATAGCATAGATAATAAGGTCTTCATAACAGTCTAAATCGTTTGGCAGTAAAACTTTCACTAGTTTCGAAAAACCAGTACACATCAATCTGGTTTCTTGACCAGTGAATCTGAAGGAAAAAGCAATGCCACTTTTACGACCTTCTCTAAACCACCGTAAGATTGAGATGTACAATCGGTTTGCTTTTACTTTCTTTTTTAAACATGACAAAAACTTTCTCAAACAACAGCTCTTGGGTAAATCTGTTATTTTTTTGGCACTACTTGGAATAACTGTTTTTGAATTTATCACATATGCCAACAATTCTGTAAACAAAAATTCCTAATTATTGTTTGCCAAATGTAATGGTTCTACAACAGCCTTGTCTATAAAAGGCCCTAAAATAGGTTCAAATTCTTGGCGAGATTTTTGAGTCGCAATGAACTGAGTTACCTCAGTCCGGCCAACTATCTGTTTGGTGTAAGCTTACTCTTGTGTTTTTCAACACGTTTTACATCTTGCAAACGTTTTTGGTAGTTCCACGGTTTAAAATAATCATCTCAAGTTGACCCAAAAGTTACACCCATTTTACCCTTTTCGGATTGTGAAACATTAGAAAATGATGAAAAGTAGGTGGCTGAGTTTGGAAGCTCCCCGGAGATAAAGGCTAACCACTTCATATCTTCCGGAATTAACTCAAACGAAAAAGAGACAGAAATTCCCTCAATGATGTATGATTTCTTTTCAATCATTTCCATCTCTTTTCTAAGTAGCTTACCATACTCAACCATTGATTGGTGCTCTTCCGAGCAATTTGCCCCACATATTAAATAGTTTTCATCACAACTTCCAACTCTATCGGCAACATTTAAAAAAGAAATAAGCCAAGCTGTTGCCTGGTTATATTTAGCAAATGGGGCCCAGTCTGCTCCTATGGATACCTGATACATGCCTTTAGGGGAACTGAACCAGTTAAGAAAGCCAGGTCGTGCATTATCTATAACTAAGTACAGATTTGCAAGCTTAAGTAAAGTGGACTCTAAGTCTCTATAACAACCTGACACAGCATGCTCACCACTGTTCAGTTCATCGTCTGATTGTTTATACTTGCCTTGGTGTCAACATTGACGAAAATTTGACCTGGGAAAAACATATTGATATGATATGTTCAAAAGTCAGTGCGGGAATCGGTGCTATAAGACGTATTAGGCCCTTCGTATCGTCTGCGACACTAAAATTGATGTACAATGCTATTGTGCAGCCCTACTTTGATTACTGCAGCCCTCTCTGGGACAACTGTGGATTAGGCCTCAAGGACAGGTTGCAGAAATTTCAAAATCGGGCTGCAAGAGTAATTTCTAGTGCGACTTACGATGTTCGGTCTGTTGATTTACTTGAAAGCCTGGGTTGGAAACACCTAGAACTAAGGCGAACTTATCTAAAATCTGTTTTCATGTATAAAATTCTGAATAACCACACCGCACCAAATCTAAGAACATCCTTTCGATTGAATAATGAATGTGATAATACCTATGATCTTAGAAATAGAGAAACCGATTTGTCTCTTCCTAAACCGAATACCGATTCTGGTAAAAGATGCTTCAAATATAGCGGAGCGGTAGTATGGAATAATTTACCGTATGTGGTAAAAGTAGCGGAATCTTTAAGTTCTTTTCGAAGAACTATTAATCAGGCAAACACTTAAAATTGGCTCGTCCTGTTGCCTACTGTATATGTAATTCTTCTTTCTTTGTTTTTGTATTTTTAATGTTTACCTGTACTGTATATTTCTCAAAATCACGCCCCTCATGGAAATCAGCTCCGAGTTGTTGAGGCCAGCGTGCCTAAATAAATTCTTGTATGTATGTATGTATGTTGATCCAACTGTTTGTCAAGAGCCGATTTTTCACCCGATTAGCACGTTTGACGCCGGCTGACAGCCGGAAATTTTGTCTCCGATTGCTCGGCTGCCAGCCGGGCTGTACTATAGTATACTAATCGTTCAAAAAATGCGCGCATTTCGGAGACTGGTTCTAGAATGTTTCATAAGCAAACAACCACCAAAAGTACATTAAATTTTCCGAAAATCATCGAAATGCATCTAAATTCATCTTCCCAATGCATACAGCTAGCTATGCGACAGGTAAATAAACCAGAAAAAAATTACGGCAAAGAGAAAAATTTAGCCTGCGTAGCAGGCGCTATTTAGGGGGGAGGGCGAGGGTGGGAAAAGCTAGGGGCGAATGCGAGAGCGAGGAAAAATGGAAGGGGCGAGAAAGAAATAGCGCCTGCAGGAAAGCCATATGTTTTCCCATCTGCCCAAGTCCCGCCCATTAAAAAACAAGCCAATCAGTGATTAGACGCAACTAATGGTTTTCCCAATGACAGATCTGGTTTCACAACAGTATGCATAATCATAGTTAATGCGCGTGTATACTATAAATGCGCGTGTATACTATATACTTTCCTGCAGGCGCTATTTCTTTCTCGCCCCTTCCATTTTTCGCCCTCCCCCCCTAAATAGCGCCTGCTACGCAGGCTAAGAAAAATTGGGAACTATTCGCGCTCACTCTGGGGTTCGAACTCACGACCCTCGGCATACACGCTGAGTGTTGTTCCCTCTGCGCCACCACGTCTTACACGGAAAATATGTTAATTTATTGTATATACATAGATTATTCTTAGCCAGCGCGATTTATGATTGCGTAAATACGTACACCATTGTACACGGCCAAGGGTACAGTACCAGCGGAGCCGTATCTACTCTTTAATACAATATTTACAATACATCACGGCATAGATCACGGCTACCAGCCGGGGTTATTTAACTGTAATACAATTACTACAATCAGTACAATGCAATACGAGTGTCAGCCGAGCCTGTCGGTAGTATACTATAGTATACTCAATACATCATGGCTACCAGCCGGCAATACGGCTATCAGCCGGGTGTGTCTGTAGTATACTATACTATACTATAGGACCTATAGTGTACTACAAAACATCACGGCTACCAGCCGGGGTTATTTAACTGTAATACAATACTACAATGCAATACGAGTGTCAGCCGAGCCTGTCGGTAGTATACTATAGTATACTACAATACATCACGGCTACCAGCCGGCAATACGGCTAACAGCCGGGCGTGTCTGTAGTATACTATACTATAGGACCTATAGTGTACTACAAAACATCACGGCTACCAGCCGGGGTTATTCAACTGTAATACAATACTACAATGCAATACGACTGTCAGCCAAGCCTGTAAGTAGTATACTGCAGTATACTACAATACATCACGGCTGTCTGTAGTATACTGTAGTATACTACAATACATCGCGGGTACCAGCCGGCAATACGGCTATCAGCCGGGCCTGTCTGTAGTATACTATAGTATACTACAGACAGGCAGGCGGGTGATAGCAAATAAATAAAATATAATATATTATTACAGTATAATATAATATATTATTAATATATTATTATTACCGTTAAATAACCCCGGCTGGTAGCCGTGATGTTTCATTGTTTTGTAGTATACTATAGCTATAGTATACTATAGACAGGCCCGGCTGTCGGCTGATAGCCATATTGCATTGTAGTATATATTGTATCACAGTTAAAAATAACCTCGGCTGGTAACTACAGACAGGATCGCGATCGGCAGATTATACAATTACTTGATGGTTTCCGTGTTTGGATGGCCTGTCCAAACATGCGGAAATGTTACGAGAGTTAAGAAAAGCTCGCGAAAGGCCATCCAAACACGGAAACCATAAAGTAATTGTTTTATAAAATAACAACAAAGTTTAAAATTCCCGCCAAGGCTCTTTAAATTTCCGTGTTTGGATGGCCTGATCGAAACACAGGTTTCGACCAATCAGAGCACGCATTATAAATCATAAATCGCGCTGGCTAAGAATAACCTCTATATATACAATAAATTAACTTATTTTCCGCGTAAGACCTGATCGCGCAGAGGAATAACACTTAGCGTATATGCCGAGACCCTCGGCGGTAAGTTCGAATCTCGTTTATGGGGAGGGGGGGGGAGGGTGAGCTTGTTCTGCCCGACCGAAAGGGCGTGGCGGAAGTCGTGCCCGACGGACATTTCAGTCGTTACTTAACATTACATATTTTTTTGCCCGACGAGCGAGCCGTTAAAATTGTCCGACAAAACTGCAATATTACACCATTGGGGTGTCACACCCTCCCCCAGGAATTACGCACACCCCTGCGAATAGTAGTGATTGATCACAATAATCGGTATATGATTGGTCCAAAGATATTTTTACTATTATTTTGCTTAACACTAAAATAAATCAATGTTATCGATTTCTTATTGAACTAAATACAAAATAAATCCATACCTGAGTTGCATGTACAATGTTTAAGATTGATAAATAATCCAAGAAAAAAAGTACAATATTTAAGATTCATAAATAATCCATAAAAAAAGCCCAGTATTTTAATCCCGCAATTTTGTTTCGCGCATTCTGGGACCAAAACTATTGAAATACGTATTTAAATTTGAAGGTTTCAGCAATCTGTTGAACACACAAGTGCATAAAAGCTTGACATAAGTAAGTTTTATGTATTAAAGGACAATGGCAATAATTTTTTTTATTCTCGATATCTATTAAACATACCTACGGAATACTTAATTACGTATTTTCACTTATCTATCGCGTTTAGTTGTTCAGAAATATCATAAAACTTTCGACAGTCGTCCGCCATCTTGAAAAAAACCTGGTATGCTAATTTATGTGAGAATAAATTTGTGACGTCAAGAGCAGGGGAAACAAATATTGTCAATATAAAATAGTATGCGTGCGAACACATTCTACGAAGATTTTGATCAAAAAGTGCGGATAAACGCTACTACTCTACTGTGTGTTTCAGCTGTGTTTTTAAAATAAACGCGTTGATTTCGGCGGTAAAAGCGCTTTGATTATAAATGATTACCATAGGCATAGTCTGGTACTATATATGTCAATATGACAATATGCTCGCCTATTTTGTAGACTTTTATATTTTTACTGTTCTCGGTGATCACGGCTATGACCACATCAACAGGAACAATATCGCATAAATAAACACTATTAATGACTGAGAATATGTTTTGATTCTTTGCAAATCGCGTGTAGAAATCGTTTTGATGTTTTTGTGATATAAATAATGAGAGAACAACTTTGTTTATAAACTAAATTTTAATAAAGCATTAATATATACACCACTGCACTTTATTAGATAATAGGACAATTGCAAGTATAATAACATTTGTTGTAGGAAATTGGGGTTGCATGCTGCACATTATAATAAAGCTGATTGCATCGGAGGAATTATAGCATCTTCAACCTTGGATTTTGAATCAGCCTTGTTTTAATACTAGGCAGAAATGGCAGCCCTGTCTTTTTATGAAACACTTATTAAACAAAAAAATTTAGCCAAACGGCTGAGTTCAAAAACGAGGTTAAATTAAATTTCAAACCTGTTTCGAGCACCCCAGGCCGAGGGCTACTTTATTGAACAAATTCCAACGTTGTCAACAGTAAACGAGTTGATCCCCAGGCTTGAAAATGCTTCATGTAATCGTACTAGAGTTATTATTAAAAGAGCATAGATTTAGCCAAATTTAAATAAATGAACATTCAAACAATCTGAAAGCCCCAAACCGCTCTCGAATACACAATTCCCATTATAGACTTATTTTATAACTGGGCAAGGAGATGCAAATAAATCACAACAGCTAGAAAGAGCATACTAAAATGAGTAACATTGCAAAGCTTTGTTGCGAAATGTTGTAAAATGCGGAAAACATAGCAAATTTTGTATACTTTTGTATTGCGTGCGGAAATCATTTGGGCCGAAAATGTAGCAATTTTAGCCTGCGTAACGGCTCAGAGAAAGTAGAGCCTGCACGAAACCCCCTGCTTTGCCATTTCCGCCCACTTAGCCTGCGGGCTACGCTCACTTTAAACAGATGTCAAAATTGGCCAATCACACAGATTTACTTATCAAAATGAAATATAAATGTTGCTGTATGTTCGCAAATTTCAAAACGAAATACTGTAATATACAGATGGCGGCTAAAGAAAATTGAAGTCTGTGGGAATAGCGCTAGGCCTAGGGCAGTCTCCATCGTTGTCACAAATAGTTTGCAGTCCGTATCTACGATATTTCGTAGCTTTCTCGCACACGTACAAATAGAATTTATAGTTTCGACAGCGGTCAACCGTGATGTATTAAATGTTAAAGTTTCGAGTGATGCTGATAAGGGAATACTAAGGTGTTTAAAGCCATCACTTCACAGAGAGCAAGTCCTGTTCATAAGACAGAAGCATTTATAGCAATTCTCTCCTGGCACAAAATTATTAGCTACAAAATCATGAAGAAAAAATCTATTTGTCGTCGATGAATTTATGAAAACGAACACGCTCGTGAGTTGTGAAAGAGACGCTGCTAACAGACAGCAATCCAACGAAGACACCACAGTCAATATCTCTAGAGCTTTGTGAACCAAGTTCGCAAATAACTTTAATGTTCAACAGTACATCGTGGCTTTTAAGTTCTTTTGAATGCAAAATTCAAACAAGCGCCTCCCAATATTAATACATCCGCCGTGTTTGTATCAATTTTAGCATAAATTAGCATATTTTTTTCATTTTGAACCAATCAGATTTCTCGTCCTCTGAGAGAACAAGTAAATTCGGCAAAGCAGGGAGTTTCGTGCAGGCTCTACTTTCTCTGAGCCGTTACGCAGGCTATAGCAATTTCCGCACGCAATACCAAAGTATACAAAATTTGCGAACTTTGCAAGGCTATATGTTCCGCATTTTACAACATTTCGCAAGTAAACTCTGCAATTTTACTCATTTTAGTATGCTCTTTCTAGCTGTGGTGATTTATTTGCATCTCCTTGCCTAGTTTTAAAATAACTCTATAATGCGAATTGTCTATTATTGTGTAAACACACGCAGCCTGACGCAGGAAGTGGCCTTCTGTTCTTATTACCCAAAATCTGAAATACCCAACGCGAACATCGTTGGTAAGCTACTAGTCTATACATTTTGTGTATCTTGTCCAAATCT